TAGATAAAGAAGGAAACTGTTGTAAATACCTGGAACAAAAGTTTCCAGAAAAATCTGATGCGAAACGAAAAGAAGGGGTTTTTGACGGACCACAAATTCGCAAATTGTTAAAAGATGAGCAATTTATCACCAAGATGAATAAAAAGGAGAAAGCCGCATAGCTTAGTTTCAAAGCAGTTGTCGAAAATTTTCTGGGTAATCACAAGAGTGAAAATTGGGAGCGAATAGTTAGTGATATGATTAAAAAATTTGGTCAGTTAGGATGCTTAATGAGCATAAAGATGCATTACTTAGACTCGCATCGGGATCGATTCCCTGAAAATTTGGGAGATTACAGTGAAGAACAAGGAGAACGATTCCATCAAGGTCTTAAAGAATTTGAGCGTCGTTATCAAGGAAGATGGGATGTAAATATGATGTCCGACTACTGTTGGATGCTGAAAAGGGATATTGTACCTGGAGGCACCAATTTGAAACGAAAACCATTACACAGATCCTTTGAGGACAAAAGAGTGCGCTACCATAAAAGGACGTGAATACCTTACTTATGTATATAAGAATTTCCATTTCGAGTTTTGAAAATCTAACTTCAAAATCATAATCAGCGACCCAAAAAACCCCTAGATACCAAGTTTGAAGTAAATCCATTAACTTTTAAAAAATTCGTCGGCCATATTGGATCCGCCATTTTGAATTTTGAAAATCTAACTTCAAATTCGTCATCAGCGACCTAAAAAACCCCTAGTTACCAAGTTTGAAGTAAATCCATTAACTTTTAAAAAATTCGTCCGCCATATTGGAGCCGCCATTTTGAATTTTGAAAATCTAGAAAATCTAGAAAATCTAGAAAAATTTCAAGAATTTCATTAACTGACGCACGATTTTTTGAATGTTGCAAAGCCCAACTAGCTAATTTTTCCCACAAAGTTAATTTTGGGGTAACTCCTTCTTCATCATCAACATCATCATCATCGTCTGAATAGAGATTCAGTTTATCCCAAAATTCTTCTTCTTCTTCTTGTTTTTGTAATTCTATCATTTCCTGTGTTTCAGTCTTAACATTCAAAGGAGACATTTCTTCTGATGCATAATGAGAAAAAGTTTTTGTTATTTCTTCTTCTATATCATTTAAAAAAACAAGTTCTTTCTTCTAATGCAATATTTGAATCCGATTCAGTAATTTCTTCTGAAAGAGCATTAGAAGAGGGCGAATAATCTTCTGAATCCTGTGTAAGTTGTGCTTTAAGGCGACGAAGTTGCTGTTTCCGACCAAGATTCAAGTAGGGTTTGCACCTTCTCTTTCGAAGATGAGAATCATCCTTTTCCATAATTAGTTTGTGGTCCTAAAACAAATAATGTATTTCAATTTTATTTTCAAATTACCATATATTAGATTATTTTTATGCATGCAGGCAAGTAAACCCACTCAATTACTGGCAACTGATTTATATCTTATTTCTAAAATTATACTAACGATAATACAACTAAATAAACGACAAAAAACAAAAACTTTCTTTCAGTGGCGTAGCTTCAAATGTTGACCCCCTGCGGAAAACTCTTTAGGCCCTCTTAAATAGAAATGTATAAGTCGCAGCATCTTTGTGAAATTTGACATTTTATGAAACGCTGCCACATAGTGAAATAAATATTTATTTCATTATGTGTAAATTTTTTTAGACATTTTATGAAATGCAACTATTAATTGTTCCCTTAGTAAACCTAATGATAAAAAATAACACTATTTGTCTAATATTAGAAAGCATTTTATGAAATGACATAGTCTTAATATGCTAAAAATTAAATTTATTAAATACTATAATGTTTATGAACAAAAAATTAAACAAATTGCAAATTTAGATGTTCATTACAAGAACATTTTGCTTTCTTTTGGAAGAAGCATTAACATTAAAAGAAAAATTTATTATTTTGTAGTAACATAATACTGAATAATGAAAAAAAATTTTGTGAAAAAGTAAAATTTTCAGATTTAATTGTTTATTCGGTTTTTGCGAATAATACTTGTATAATTTTTTAAAAATAATATGCGTTTATTATTACTTATTATGAATCACTGTCAGAAGCCATATTCTAGATAATTTGAAAATTATAAAGTCTTACGACTGTTCCGAGGTTGCATAAGGGGCTCTTAATATGGGTTACGGATTTTAGTAGGTAGGGGCTGGCAGTAGATTAATACTTCGACGCCTCCTGACGAGATAATATTATTTTAAACGACAGTTCAGTATAAATCTTTTTGAGAAACAAATGCTGTATGAAGTTAACTTACAAATGAATGCAAAACAATTCTAATTCATTTTTCAATTCGAGATAATGCTATCTCAAAATCGAATGCAATAAAATGACAACTGAAGCTTGCGTTCAATATGATTCTCTTTCTAAATATTTTTAATACACATTCGTGACCAAAATTTTCATAATTGTTAATAATATTAAATATTATTAAATAAATTTTTCCTATTTAGTTTCAGAAAGAAGATTTTTGTCGTCTAATGATTATAATTTTTTTCAAAAATACTATCTTATTTATGTAATTATATAAAAAATTGTGTTATATTTAATTTACGTTTATGGTTGGGAATTACAAAATTTTAATTATGAATTTTAGTTAATTTTAAAATTATAATTATCAATTTTAATTTCAATTATAAAATTGTTAAGTTTTCTGCTTTTGAATTCTTTGTTACAAATTTCTCAAATCGCACTATTGATTCAAAATTACTTTTTTATCTTTATTATTGGTTAGAGAGAAACTTCATTGTATTGATTTTAATGACATATGAAAATAATTATATTTGACACAGACGTTATTTTCTATTTTATGAAGTAAATCAAACGATTTTGAATTTTTAACTTCGTTTTTTTGGAAATATGTAACAATATCTAGCCAGGTAAAAAAAGATTAACTTTATAATGGATTCTTGAGAAAGTACTTTAAGTGGTATCCCAGTGGGCAAAAAACCATCATTGTTTTAAAAACGTTCCAAAAACGTTTTTAGAACGTTTCATGTCTGCTAAATAACGTCCCAAAAACGTTATATGGTTCTAAAACGTTTTAAAAGCAATGGAACGTTTTTGGAACATTATTTTGCAGACATTAAACGTTCTAAAAACGTTTTTGGAACGTTTTTAAAACAATGATGGTTTTTTGCCTACTGGGATGTATTGCAAGTATAAGCTCAAATTGAATAGTTTCTTTTTTGCTATGACGAATTATTGTTTAATAAATCCTTATAATTATATTAAAAATATTTTAAATTATTGCTTCCTCATATAGAGGAAGTATTGTAATACCAAAATTTTTCGAGTTGGATTTTTTAACATATCTTTATGTTATTTGACCTCAGGAGTTCAAAAATGACATTTTCTCAAATTTTTGTTTAAAAATTTTTCTTGAACTATTAAACTATTATAACAATCTTGTAGGGTTGACCCGAGATTTTATCACTTTTACCATATTTATAAAAAGTTATTCATATATTTCTATTATTATTATTATTATTATTATCTCTATGAGGAATCAAAGTGTTCAAGAAATGAGCACCAAAATTATAACAAAAATCTATAACTTGGCAGCAGTTTTTTTATTAAAAAAATAAAAAATATTTAAATTTTTAATTTTAGTCTAAAAATGAAGTATCAAATTATAATTTAATTTTTATTGTTTCAAAAAATATCAGAAAATTGTTCAAATCAAATAACGTAGAATAACGATTATTATCACAATTATGAATTAAAAGTTGATGTCAATTTATTCTTCGACATTATCTATTATTACAGATTTATCAGAAGAATTAATAAATTTTCTTGGTTTGAATTCAAGAAATTCTACTGTTTCAAAAGCAATAAGTTCGCTTGATGAAAATAATTCCAAAATAGTTGATGAGAGCAATTCTGTCTTGGGAAATATGGATTTTTCAAATGAAATTTCGGAAGTAGATGAAGAAGTTTATTTATCATCAAAAGATGAAAATCTTCCTTCTACATCTGAAGAGAATAATATTTGCTTCGATACAGCCAAGGATATTGCCGGGAATGCGTTACCTGTAGTTAAAAGAAAGAAGAGTTTCGATCAGCAAGACAAAATTTTAACTAGAAAAAGACTCTGCAATCCAGAAAATTCTGGAAAAAATGTTTTTAAAAAGTCTGTAAATCTTGGTCTCGAATATGTTTCACCATACACAAAAAAAACAGTTCCAAAACGCTCGATGCAAAGAACCTGCGGACCGGGATGTCGATTTAAATGCGAAACCAAAATTTCTGAAGAAACAAGACTGAAATTTTTTAATGATTATTTGAGAATTTCTGAACACTCAAAGAAATATGATTTCCTTCTGAGAAATGTAACTGAAAATCGAATTAATAATGATGATAATATTAGAAAAAGCAGTTCTCCAGGACATACAATATTGATGACCAAGGAAAGAAATTTATTGTATGTAGAACAATGTTTTTGAACACCTTAAATATTAGTATGCAAGTTTTAGAGACGGCTTTTAAAAAAACTCGCAATGGAGATTGATAGCATATAGTTTATTTGGGCAGGATGTAGTCAATAAATACACTGTAAGTACTCACAAGAAAACAGTCGTTTATTCAGGAGAGATCGATGAGATGCGAACGGGATCAAAGCGCACGAAAAAGAGAGTGAGGGAGTGCGCGCGCACACGGAAGTGTGATCAGACTCGTAACAGCTAGAGTTAATCGAGTGTACCGCGAAATACAAATTCGACACTCCCTCCCGAGATTGACTCGTATGATAGTAATAATAATTATGAAAATACTTAAGGCTAGAAAATTACTTATTAATATAAAAAAAGAACATTAACAAAAAGTTTTTTTTTTATTTTTATGAGATGATCATTTTTGTTGAATACTGAGTATTTTTTCAATAAAGTCAGTCTTTGGATTGGATTTGTGGCCTCGTCATTACGTTAGAAATATAGACCAGTTGTCCATCGTTCAGAGAGAATAACTCATGGCTAATCGTTTATTCCGGCAACTGTAAACCAAATAGAAGATTAGATTTATTTAGTCATTAGTGTATTTTAGTGGCAAAATGTACGTAATGTCGTATGACAGAACAATAGTCAATTCAAAAACTGTCGTTATTTAGAATTTTGTCTCGTAATTGAGTATGGACCTCGAAACTAAGAGGCTTGGTCATTATGTCGGCCAATTGTTTCTTAGTCGAAACCCATTCGAGAATTACACGGTCGTATTTAACACATTCTTTTACATAGTCTTGGTGAACATCCGTCATATGTCTTAACTTATTTCCACCGTTAGTTTTAGCACAAATCGTCGCAGCTTTGTTATCGCATCTCAAAATCGCAGGAAGAAAGCCTTTTTTAGAAATTCTCATAAGAGACTTATTTGTCGCGATGATTTCCTGACAAGCTTGACTCATGGCGACATATTCGGCTTCGCACGTCGAAAGAGCAACATAAGTTTGCTTGTTTGCTCGCCAGGCAATCGTATCACCAAACAATCGTATTATATAACCGCACGTCGAAACCGAAGATTTGCAATCGGCAAAACTCGCATCTGAATAAGCTAATAAGTCGTTTCGTCTACCGATAAATTTTAGTCCTAAATCTTTCGTTCCTTTCAAGTATTGAAAAACTCTTTTGACCATATTCCACTCGTTTTCGGTCGGATCAATTTGATGTCTGCTCAGTATATTTACTGCGTAGGCTATGTCTGGACGAGTAGCTCCGGAAAGATACAAGAGACTACCAATTGTTTCTCTGTACGGAATGTCCATTGGTTTTTCGTAAGTTTCGAAATTGTCGACTTGTTCTCGTTCCCTTCGTTCGCGATTTGCTACCTGTCGTGTCGTCATCGGTGTGTTTTTTGAAAATTCATTCTCAAAATTAAATTTCGTTAGAATTTTTTCAATGTAATCTTTTTGAGTCACTGTCATTATTTTTAAGTCCCTGTGTCTTTCAATATTCATACCCAAGTAATGTTTTGGTTCGCCTAAGTCAGTCATTTCAAACGAGATCATTAGTTTACCTTTAATTTCTAACATTTTATTACGGTCGTTACTTGCTAGCAAAATATCGTCAACGTAAATTAGCAAAATGACTATCGAATTGACAGAATGCCACATGAACAAGCAGGGTTCATAATCGTCATTAATCAGTCCTAAAGAATGAGCAACTTCAGAGAATTTTTTGTTCCATTGTTTTGGACTAACTCGTAACCCGTAAATCGCTTTGTGAAGTTTGCAAACTTTGATCTGTCATAAATTTTGAGAATTTTCCACACCATCGGGAATTTCCATATAAATCTCGTCTTCTAGAATACCGTTCAAGAAGGCAGATTTAACATCTAATTGACACGCTTCCAAATCATAATGATTGCGAGAACTATTCTTACTAAAGTAAGTCTAGAAACTGGCGCATAGGTTTCTTTCAAGTCATAAGAATTTGTATCTTTAAAACCTCGAATTACTAATCTAGCTTTAAACTTGATTTTACCGGGACTTTAGTACTTTCGTTTAAAAACCCATCTCGAATCGATAATGTTAGGCTTTTTACCATTTTTACCTATTTTCGGTCGTTCTACAATTGTCCAAACTTGGTTTTTGTTCAAAGATTCTAACTCGTCGTCGATTGCTTTTAACCACTCGTTTTTATTTTTCGATTCTATAGCTTGTTTAAAATTTAATGGATCGTTATTGATTTCAGCATGAAAGCAAAATAGAATTTCATCGTTTGTTTTATTTTCTGTTGTTGTGAACTCGTCTTCTACACTCGGAAAAGTATAGCTATTTGAAACATTCGTAATTTTAGAAATTTTGGCAAAGCTAACATCAGCTATTTTCCGACTGTGCATTTCGTAAGGTTCTCGAGTAACTTTACTCTTTTTAGCTTCTATTGAAATTTCATTCGAATTCTCTCCCTCTGTTTCTAACAGTCTTTTTCGAGGTCTGCCGCGTTTATTGGGCTGAGCTCCCTCCGTTTCTGACAATGTGTTTTGACTTTTGACAACATTGTTTTCGTTACTAAATAAAAAGAAATTAAAGAACCAATCGTTTATAGACAAAGTCGTTTCTGGAAGTGGCCAATTTTGTATCGAGTCTTTCTTTTATTTGTCACCGAAAACTAATTTTTCGTTGAAAAGAACATTTCGTGATTCAAAGAATTTTCCGGATTCCGGATTGAGGAAAATGTAACCGGACGTTGTGTAACCTACAAGAACACCGCGTACTGCTCTTGCCGAAAACTTTGAGTCAGGTTTTCTAGTTATTGACCAATAGGCCAAACAACCAAATCGTTTAATTTGATTCAGATCGAAATGAAAATCAGGTGCAAATCTACTCAAAGGAGCTTCAAAATCAATTGACTTGTGTGGAGTTCTATTATAGATATCAACCGCCGTTCCTAAAACTAAACCCCACATGTTTGGTGGAAGTTTTGAGTCAAACATAATCGATCGAATTTTCTTTTGAATCGTTTGATTAAATCGCTCAGCAACTCCGTTGTGTTGAGGAGTGTCTGGGTTAGCACACTGTCGTTCTATACCTTCGCGTAATAATACTTCGTTCGTATAACCTCCCATAAATTCAGTTCCCTGATCTGAACGCAAATAGCAAATTTTTTTATTAGAACCGAGCAAATTTAGAGCACTTTTAATAAATTTCTCTAAACACAAACCCGTTTCGTCTTTCGTTTTCATGGGATAAGCTAGTTCTTTGATTTTGAAAAGGTAGTTTATTAAGTTTCGTTAGTGCGCATATCTCACAATCAAGGATACTGTCATCGAAAACTACTGACTGAAGGTCTTTATTATCTTTCCACAATTTTTGTAATTTTCTTAAATAGCCAACGGACACGTGGCCTAGTCGTACGTGCCAAAGCATGGCTTTGTTCTTTTTAATAAACTCATTGTAACTATTATCGTTAAAGGGGGTAAATTCGTCTAAGACATCTGCTTCGGGCAATTCGTCAACATTAGTTATTTTTCGTTTTACTGTGGAACTGTCAAAATCGGAAATAGTAGTAGTTTCAGAGTTTTTTTGAATTTTATTGGCAAGTTCTTCTGTGGAGTTATTAATTAAATTTTCGTTTTTATTCGTCTCGTTATTTTCAGTCGTATTAAAGGAGTCACTCGTTACATTATTATTTCTAATCATGTTTTTATCAATCGATTCGTTATTTTCTTTGGGAGTTTCATGAACTACAGTCGTGTCAAAAATAGTTGTGTCTGAAAGCACTGAATTATCATTTAAACTTTTCCTGTCAATTTTAAATTCAAGAAACCAATATGGTTTCTCATAAATACCCGTTGCAAGTAAATCTTTTGATTTAGAATTAAAGATATTAATTCGCTTGTCGTTTAAATGAGAAGAATAACCTGCTTCGGCCAGTCGTCGGAGTGACAATAGATTTTCGGAAACTGAATTGGTATAAATGACATTCGTTAATGTAAAGGATTTATTGTAATTTGAAATTAAATTAACATTTCTTTGACCCTGAGCAATGAGATCTGCTTTACTGTCCTTATTTGCGCATTTAATAACATTACATTCGATTCTATTTAATCTATCAAAAATATTTTTTGAATTTGTAATATGTTCTGTCGCACCGGTATCCACGATAAAAGAAACATAATTGTGATTTTTATTTTTAATCGTATTTGATTTGGAAAGACTATAAATGTAAACTGAAGATTCCGTTTTGGTTTCGGAGGTGGAAACAGTATCAGACAATGACAAGGATGTAGTTTGAGATATAATTTTATTTGACGTACCTGATTTGTTGTTCTGCAATTCGGTGAAACCAATTTTTGGTATTTCACTCGTACCTGTTCGTGAATGTCTTTGTTGGCGTTGTGTATTGTTTTTATTGTCAGCGGGTCGTTTTTTAATTTTACTGTCATTTTTTCTTTTAAAAGAATATTTATTACTGTCGTTACTTTTTCTAAATGATTTGAAATATTTTTTGCCTTGGTTCGGTTGAGATTTAAACGGTCGTTTAAAATTAGCGCGTAAATAAATATTCGATATGTCGTTTGAATTATTAGAATACTTACTTGTTAAGCCTCTGCCCCTAGTTTTAAGCAGTCGTTGCTCGCATTCATAGGCCTTGTGTTTTGTAAATTGCTGACACTCATAGCATTTACGTAAACCTTGGCCTTTTCTGGGACACTCGTTTGACATGTGGCCGAAATCATCGCACTCGAAACATCTTTGACTAATCCACTGTCGTTGATTGGATTTTGCATATTGAATTGAGGCCATGGCAGTCGTTTTAGAGGCAGGATGAGTTTTAATTATTGTTTGCAGTCGATTTGCTTCCGACTGTATAACAAATAATTTGAGGGCTTCGTAATTTAATCCTTTACCGGTCTGGTTTTTCGTCATAAACTCGACAGATTGAACTTCGGGTAATTGTGTTAAAATGGCTTTAAAAAGTGCATCGCGTTTCTCTTCGTCCGATAATAAAGTTGTACCAGAAATGTGTTCATAATTTAAAACAATTTCTTCGAAACGGTCTAAGAATTTGACTGCTGATTCGCGTTTTGCGTCGTATTGAATTGAATAAAGTTGCTTTCGTACGGTAACACTCGTTAAATTTACTTCACATCGTTTAAATTCTCGTAATTTGTTAATAATTTCAACCGGATTTTGAAGATGTATAACTCGGGTATGATAAATTTTATCAATTCGATTTATTAGAATATCCCGAACTTCAAATTTATGTTTTTCTTTTAATTTTTCATTTAATCCTTCCGGTGGAGTAACTGTCGTATCGATAACATAAAGCAAGTCTGATATACGTAATTCGGACGTTAAAAACTCGTAAAAATGTTCAAATTTGGTTTGTGAATTTAATTTGTATTCGTGTTTAAATCCGCTGTCTTTCCCGATCAGTTCAATTTTAATTGCTTCTTTAACTTGATTTGCTATTGAATTCGAATTATTCGTGTTATTATTGTTATTAATTGCTGTAAAATTCGGTGTAAATGTTGGGTTGTTATTTGTTAAATTTTTATTAGAACCGAGAAAATTTCTTTCCACTTGGGAAACTGTCGTTAATTTAAAATTTTGAGGCATTACAATTTCGTTAGTAATTTTAGGTTTTTTTACCTTATTTTCTGAACTATGGCGTTTAAGCCATAATTGCATGGTCTCCTGCAATTTTGACTGCATATCCAAGGTTGAGCTCATCATTTTTTCCAACTGAACCATTTTATTATTTATACGATCCTCGTAAACCTCGTAATTGAAAGATCCTGAACTTAAGTTATTTTATAACTGTCGTTTTTTGATAGCACCCTTATTGTTATCTTGGGTCTGATTATTGTTTTTGTCACTGTCGTCACTGTTGTGATTACTATCGTCTTTGTCGTTATTGGTTAATTTATCGTTTGTGTTATTTGAATTGGTTTCTTTAAGATGACTGTCGTTAGTAATTAAAATTTCATTACTGTCTTTATTCGTTAAAGTGTTAGTCTCTTCATTATTTTTATCAATGAGACTGTCGTTGGAAATCAAAACAGATTGTTTCGATTCAGTCGAAATAGAATCTTTTTCCTTGTCGAAGCAATGTTGACAAGATTTGTTGCTACTAGGAACGCCTTGGTAAATACCTGGTGATACACCTACCAGAAAAAAAAAATTTAATAAATAAAACAAAAATTATTTTATTATTATTTTTTTTTGTTTTTATAATTTGTCGACAACACACTCATACGGTCATTATTTATCGTTAAACAATTAGTTAAGAAAAATACAGTCATAAACAGTCGTAAACCTATAGTTTAATTAATCACCTGAATTATTATCAATGTCACCAATAAGGTTATTGACTTGTGACACGACCTGGGTCTCCGACAAAGATTGTTTGTCATTTGTGTGAGAAACATCATGACTGTGATCGCTTGAATCAAATTCCCCGGTTCCTTGGACATTGTGGTTTAGAGGTTTTGACAGTTTCTCGGCTTCCTTATATTCTCTAGCTAAATCGTCCCAATCGTTTTTGAGGGAATTCTTGCCTTGAAAGAAAAATTTCAAAATAGATTGTCAAAATGCACAGTCGTTAATTAAGGCAAAGATTGTAAGAAAATAACTGTCTGCTCTTGAATCATCGAAACAGAACTCATGTTATGATAATTCAGAACTGACACATTTCTTTACACATGTTACTAACAAGTGCAATATAAACCAATCTAGTTGTTATCAGTCTTCTGGAGTGAACACAACTCCATTAGAAAGAACAACAAACCAGAAGAATAGTTTACTGTCTTTAAAAGAAAAGAAGTAATTTGGAAAATTATAGACACTATTTCATAGTAATAAATTAAAATAACAGAATCGTTAGTAATAAATTCAGTCATCAATACGTACGTACGTCATTGAAATTTTCAAATTTCCACTTAATTTGTGACATTTCGTTTTAAATTTGTAGTCTAATTCTAGAATTATAAATTTTGCATATCTTTAAACACTCGTCATTTTAATTTTACTAAAAAAAGGGTTATAGTTCGTTGAGCACTCGTAAATTTATTATATAAAATAATTAATTCGAATTTTGTTTACTTCCTGTTCGATACTTCGATTGTGAAAATAACAAACGGTAGTTGAAATCCATCTAGCGGACAATTTATTAACTTTGATATAACTGATAAGGTAAAGAAGGTTATATATATATATATATATTTAAATTTTAAAAGGGGGCCCTCCCTGAGTAGTCACGTCACGTCCTTGCTTTAAGACAGCACAGTGAAGTATATACAAATCGTGCACCCCCCTGAAAATTAACAATTTTTTTTACTTAGAAAATTTTCTTTAAAAAAAATTTTTTTTTTTTGAAATAGCAAAGGCAATTGATGATATGCAGGACTATAAGAGACGCATGAGTGAATTAATTAAAGTACCGTGCGTAAGCCGGGCATGGGAAAAAATTAAAATCATGCAAGTTGGCCAGATAGTGACGAACTTACTGAGACACCAATTGTGTATCAGTGGTTCGTCACAAGTTTTGAAGGAGAGGCTATTGCGAGCGGAAATGAGATTAGCACTAAACGACGGTAGTGATGTGCCATTTTGCGATCGGTATGACTTAGGAAATTCCGACAAAATCTTTTTGTTGGAAGCGTTCCCGGAGCCAGAAATGGAAAAATTTCCATTTGTGAATTATCGCAGGGGTGGCCAGATGTCATCGGCAGATGACGAAACATCAGACAGCGGGGCGAGTCAGGTCATCGAGCGTATTAGTGCCAAGAAAACCCGAGGGAGTGGGGGAAGTAGAACCAAAAATGGAGCATTGTACAGTAGACCCAGTCCGACCAGCGTTGCGTCCACCCCAAATTTTACACCCCCACTCCCAGTCATGACAACAGCCAGCATGACGACGTTTTCCCCCATCACTACCAGTGCTCAAATGAGTATGACAACGAGCACGATCATGACAGCGCCCCACACTATTCAATCGGCTACAATGGCACCTAGCGTACAAACCATGCGAGATTCGGTAGCGAGGTTAGGCTTATCTCCCGAAATTGAGAGGCTAGTAGCTTATGCTGAGAAAATGGACAGACAGTATTCGGGAGGGGGCTGGGAATGGCAACAAAGCCAATGTAGGGCCGCAGTCAGGGACGGATTTAAATTGACCCATCATCAAGAATCCAGAATTGTGTCCCCCCAAAGAAAACAGCCAGTAGCAGAGACCTCACACTCACATCACACTAACGAGAGAGTGAGGCCCACACCTGCCCCTAGAAACCAGTCAAGCCGGAGTAGTGTGAGTGACGTTAGTGTCACTCATCGAAGAGTGCCGAAAAATGGAGAGCCGATCACGGAACTTGAAAATAATGAGAGCGCGAATAGTAGAAGGAGTAAAAGAGACAAGGTAGAGAGACGAATCGAGTATGATGATAGCGAGGAGAGCCGTGGAAGTGAAAAGTGTAGTTGTGAGAGTAGAAGCGAAAACCGAGTGAGTATAAAAAGCGAACGAAAGGAGAGAAAAACACGAAAGCCGAAGAAAGCCGCAAAGGAGAGCCGAAGATCAATCTTAGATGACTCTACGAGTGAGTCCGAATCTGAGAGTGATCTGAGTCAACACCTAAGTAGTGGGGGAGAAAGCGAAAAATTTAAGCCCGGCCGGAGGTCAAAAGTGATCAAAACCCTTAAGGATTGGGACCTAAAATTCTTTGGAGATGAAGACAATGCCGAAGAATTTCTGGAGAGACTGGAAGACTGTAGAACCAACTCAGGTTTCTCAGATCAAGAGATCTTACAAGCACTGCCGATAATCTTACAGAAATCCGCCAGCAGTTGGTTCAGGTCGCTGCGCCGTGAAATAAGTTCTTGGAGGTTATTCCAAAGAGCCTTTAAAAATGAGTACTTGGTTGTGGTCGACGATGATGATGTCATAGACGAATTAAAAGCCAGGACTCAGGGCAAGGGAGAGAAAATTTCCCCATACCTGACAAGTTTCCGACTAATATTAGGTCACATGAAACGACCTTTGAGCCAGAAACAACAAATCAAGGTGGCCTACAAAGGCCTGACTCCAGCCTACCGACGCCAACTGGATAGACTGCAGTTCGAGTCATTGAGCCAGATGGAAAAGATCCTAAGGAACTACGAGAAGGCAAAGGACTTGGACGAAAGATATGCCCCGCCCCCACCTAAGGAAAAGATGCGTTTTCCGTCAGCGGCCGTAAAAGAAAGGAAGAGTGGTCACAAACACGTAAAGAGCGAAAAAGTGTCCGCCTTGGAGAAAGAGCCTGAGTCGAGTGAAAGCGATCACTCCACAAAAGCCGAGAAGCCGAAGAAAAAGAAGAAGAGCCCAAAAAGTAAGAAAGAGAAAAACAAGCCAGAAGAAAAGAGTGTTGAGGCCATCAGTCCAGCAACACCGAATCAGAAGCCAGCAGTGGTCCAGGGTCAAGTTGTCAGTACAGCGCCACCACCAGCAGTACAAATGCCAATGCAATTCGCGTACCCAATGGTTTATCCAGGGATGTTTCCACCTGGAATGAAACCAAATTACCCCAGGCCAAATGGGTCTAAAGGACCCAAGCCGGGGCAACATGGTACACAAGCCCAAAATACCACTAAAGAATTCGTCGGGGCATGTTTCCACTGCCAGACAGTAGGACACCGAGCCAAAGACTGCCCGCAGAGAACTTGTTTCTCTTGTCAACAACAAGGACATTACGCCAATCAATGTTCTCTGAAGCCAGTACAATCAGAAGCGTGTTTAGTGTGCAAAAGACCGGGGTGCAATTTCCTAAACTGCCCAAACTGTATGGCAGTAAGAGCCGCGTTGGGAAACGGTATATGGGGGGCACAGAACAGCGCTGTACCCCCCTCCAATACAATCGGACAATAGGGAACAGTAGTGTAGAGAGGAGAGCCGAGTTAAATGAGCCGTGTGTTGTAGAGAGGAGAGCCGTGCCTGATGAGCCGTGTATTGTAGAGAGGAGAACCGTGCCGGATGAGCCGTGTATCGTAGAGAGGAGAACCGAGCTTTCTGAACCGTATAAAGTTAAGTTAAATAACAAGTGTCGAGGTCAATTTGATCCCAGTTGTAGTTGGGTCAAAACGGAGCGAGAATTAGAGTTAGAAAGAGAAGAGATAGGTGAGAAAAGTTTCGAGCCAGTCATAGGTAGGGACGACCTAACAGAAGACAACACGTTCAAATTCATGCCAGAGAATAGTCACGAATGGCCAAGTGAGAAGAGCTCACTCCACCGAAATGTAGTCGAGAAAAGGGCCGATGAGTGTGGGACAAAAGGTACGGATGTGATCCCGGTACCTATAGTCCAGGGGAGGAGAGAGGCTGTGAGAGCAACAGCTGACCCGAACCTAAGTAACGAGGAGGACATCGACGGATCTAGGACGGAGAACAGATATTTCTTCGACATGTCTATCGGCGACCGCCATTACGAAGCACTCTTTAACCCTGGTGCTATGATTTCAGTAATCAACACCAGAGTTACAGAACCTTTTAAAAGCCGAATCCAGCCGTGTGGTACAGTTGTGAGGAGCGCAACAGGAGGTATCACTGAAACAGCCGGAATCGTGGACCTTAATATAGTAGTTGACGGACATGCACAAAAATTCTTAGTCAAGGTAATGAACACCTTGACACAGGACATCATCTTGGGCATCGACTTCTGTAAGGCCTGGAACATGGACGTGAAGCTGAAAGAGGGATTATGGAGAGTATTCAGTGGAGAATGGCATGGGTTTGGGCCGAGAAAAGGAGACGAGAACGAACAACTAATATTCGCTGAGTGTGCCGGTATTTCTGCGCTCGATGATGAGCAAAAGAACATCATCTAGGCCATTGTAGACAAGTGGGTGTTGCCAGAATCGGAAGAACACGGAATGACAGACCTGACGGAACATCACATACGTGTTACGGACGAAACGCCAGTACAACATGGAATAAGACGGATGTCGCCAGCCATGTTAATTTGGGCCTAAGGTAATGCCGCAAAGTTGTACAAACTTGGGATCATTGAGCCATCAGCCAGCCGTTGGAGAAGTGCGCCAGTAATCACGAGAAGATGAGAGAATGACTTTAGGCAGT